CAGATAAATAGTGTTCATATCGATATCGGAATTATATCGTATCGACCGAAATTAAGAAATATATCGTGATATCAATTTTGGCCATATCGTCCAGCCCTATGTCGATATAACGAGATAATTATGTCATGATCACGAGAAAATTATTTATGTCATGTCGAGATCACGACAAAACAAGAAAAAAAATGTATAATCCATGGCCTCTTATGACTTCCGTAGTTTTCTGTCTTTTTATTGTTAACATTTCTATCCATATATTTTTTTTATTCTGCCTTCTTTATTAACATACAAGATATCGGTCTAGAAATATAGAAAATCATAATTTAAATTCTTCCCAACATAAATAATAGTAAGAATTAAAGCATAAACACAGAAATTTAATGACACCTATCTTCATTGACAACTACAAGTAAATAACTACACTAGAGCACAGAATAACCAAATATTATTTGATTTTCTAATAAATACATTCAGAGCAATAAAATAGTTACATTATTAACATGTTATAGTTTTATATGTGCAGAAACTGACAGTGTCTATTTTATCTCTTCATATGTATGAAGCTTTTATCAGTATCTATACTTGATTTTAACCATGTAAAGCACAGTAAAGTTAGTTTTAGGTTCGATGTTGGTTGGATATTCGCTTTCCCCGTGTCCTTGTTTTATAGAGTTGACGGTCTTACAAATATATCAATAACACAATTAGTTTTAACAATGTGCAGCTATTTATATCGACACGCAACTTTAAAGCAAAACTACCAAGGCGTATTATAGCTAGGGTGGCCATTCGTGCCATTTTTACGGGACACGTCCTGGCCAGGATTTCTATATTTTGCTTTGTTTTCCTGTTTTTATACTTGCTGAAGGTATTGATCGAAAAGTAGTTTGACCAATAATTGTACATAATCGACCAATCATTAAAACGTCAAAGCTGTCCAAGTATTAGCCCAGCAGTTCTTAATCCTGGTCTTTGTGAGAAAATTAAGTCGTGATCACGAGAAAACAACTTTTGTTATGTCGAGATCATGAGATAATTAAGTCGTGATCACGAGAAAACAACTTT